GATATAAAATACATTGTTCTGATATTCTCAGCTGTTTCTTTCAATATTTATATAATACAGTAAGAAAGAAATTTGAAAGTGATTTAAACATAGAATAGAGGCATAAAAAGGGGTGAAAGATTTATTTTTAAAGGGATTACCTGTTAATATTAGTGAAATTGAAGTGTTGGTTTTAAAAATCTTAACCTGCCAAGTATTTATCTTCATTGTCCTTATTTTAAGAAGTGTTTGAAGTAAGAAAGAATCAAGATAGCCTTTTTGAAGAGTAAAGAACAAGCATAGTTGGCATTCTTTGAATCAGTGATTTTTTTTTTTAACTCTTTGAAAATAATAAATATCTGTTTGTCTTTAGTTACCTTTTGTTTTGAGAAAGTGGGGGAAACTGTGAATATTATCCAAGGCATATCATGGAATTACATTTATTTCCTTAGGTCCGCATGGTAATAAGGGGAAAATAGGTGCTCTAAAATAATAATAAACAAATGGTTTCTATATTACTTAAGCAGCCTAAATTATTAGCAATCTACACTTTGTGATCTGCCACTTATTATGGTACCTAAAATCTGGAGTTTGGCATTTAAATATCTTAACAAGGGTGATTTTTTTTTCTCCCTTGGCCTTTTTTTATTCTTTCATGCGTTTTCTTATCCCTCTTTAGTTCACAGGTTATAGCTCTCTTCTTGTGAACACTTACACATGAGTAAATTTACACCAGGGGGTCTTCTCACTGAGTCAGTGGAAATACTCTTGTGCTTTGCAGGCTCTAAATACCAAATTTTGGAGTTGCATTTCATTCTACCACAACAACAAACACTACTGAATGAATAATAGGGAACAAAACCCCTGAACTGTTAAGCCTAACAAATGCCTGAACATTAATGCATCCGTAATTTTAGGTCATAAAATTCAGTTGAGTGTAAGTGGAAATGTAAATTCGGGGTGCTCTTATTCTTCTCCAGGGTAACGGGACTAAATATGGACAAATTTCCATGGCAATTATCATGACAAGATGCAGCACTTCAATTAGGAGAAGCATGTTCTGTGCTACTGTACAAGGAACCCCTAAAGACAAGTTGTGCATGTGGCAGCTTTCATGGTAGAAATAATTTGTACTGGGGGGGAAGGGAACCATACCTATGAATTCAATACCTTCTAGAAAGGAAAATCTTTTTAAGAAGGAAGTTAAAATTTCTCAGTGCTCATATGGGGAAAAGATCTCTGCACTTTTTACTGACATTTGCTTGGTTAAGATAAAGGATTAGCCTGTCAGAGTGAATTTAAAGTTGCTTTGATTTTTTTTTTTTTTTTTGGGTATCCTATTAATAAGATGTCTGGTTCATATTACTGTCATTATCTAGTTCTGGAGCCAGACAAGTGTTGGGGTTTTCCTAGTAGGAAGAAAAGCATTCTTATCAAATAAACAATATGATCAAACTACAGACTTGTGTTGCCGAGCTACTAATTGCTCTTTGTTATGCTGTTAACAGCAGTTTTTGAACGTGTTATTTAGTGAATGCATGAGTAGATTGTCTGACTTATTCTAGCAAGATCTTCAAAGACTGAAAAGGATGATTATTTTAGGCTGAGTGAGGACCCTTCACTCATTGTGAAGCTTCTTAACCCCACAGTGGTACATTTCCTAATAGTTTATTTTTAAGAAAGCTTGCTTTTGTGCTTTTTATTGAGTTTAAACAGTGCAGTGGCTGTTGACTGTGCCGTGGACTGTCATGGCATGAAGCTTTGTTTAAAAATGTAAAATATAGTGCCTGAGTTCTCATTTAAACTGTATACTGGAGGCTTTTTCTTTTGACTGCAGTTGTTCTTCAGTCCTGTAAATTATCTGTGTTTATTGCAAAGTACAAGTACTCCAGAACTCTTCATATAGCACTCATAGCTGTATGTATACATAGTATATATGTATATATACTGTATAGTATAATGGAGCAGTTACCCTGAAGTGTGGAAACATTTAAGTGTGTGTGTGTGTGGCTCTTTAAAGGCAACTGCAAATATTAGCTTAAGAAAGAGATTTATGCACTGCTTAAAATATGTTTCTGTTTTGTAGGCCAAACTATGTTGATGCAGACCCTTTTGGCAGCCTGGAGACACGCCGGATCCTGGTGACAGCAATGTAAACTTGAATTCAGCAGAATCTCAGAAGTCCTGTAAAATGGAGGAACTGTATAAGGACACACAAAACCTGCCCATGGATGTTACCAGCAATCCTTCCACAATAGCCAACAATAAACTAGAAAATGGAGTCGCTCAGCTGATAACAGCTGAAGCCTGGAACATCAACTCAACAGACCTGATGAAGAAAGCACTTTCTCCACTAGTGACTGTCCCAGCCCCTTCCATCCTCACCCCACCCGCTGAGTCCCAAAGTGGGGTCGCTCTTAAAGTAGCAGCCACAGTGCTCCAGCCAATTTGTTTAGGGGACAGCCCTGTGGTTCTGCCAATACACTTGCAAGTAGCAGGGAGTACCACCCCTCAGATTACTCCCAGCAACAATACTCCCTACGTTATGACAACTCAAGGTCCGGTTCCACTACCTGTCCTCTTAGAGCAACATGTGTTTCAGCATTTAAATTCTCCATTGGTATTACCTCAGGGTGCTCCCTGTGCTACAAATCCCATTCACAACAATATTTTCCAGGGTTCTTCCACCCCTGTCACACAACCCCAGCTACTGGATCAGAAACCATCTAGCCAGGCCCAGGAGCCTGTCCTACCCCCAGTGTTTCAGACACCGGGATTTGCAGCAGTCCTTCAGGATTTGTTTCCTTCCCAGGGCACCTTAGGCTCTACTCCCTGTCAGCCACCTCCCGATTACTCTTCTCTCCCACCCCAGGCTTTTGGTTCCCCTCTATCTCCATTAGTACCGCCCGCCACCCTTCTGGTACCATACCCTGTGATTGTTCCTCTGCCTGTCCCAGTCCCCATTCCTATCCCTGTCCCTATTCCCGTGCCTCACAGTCCTGAATCCAAGGTCAATCCAGACTACCCCAAGACGCCGTTGTTCACTCCACATTCCTGCAAAGGCACCCAAACCCCTCTGGAGAAGGAGGAGTCAAAACCCTTTGACTTCATCCCCACAAGGGAATTTTCCCAACTTAATCGCCACACTGTCATCAAGATGAGCAATGAAAATGAAGCCCTGGACCTCTCCATGAAAACGATGCCCTTGCTAAAGGCTAGTGAAGCCAGTCCTCAGGTCTCACTTGAAGATGGAGCTTTAGACTTGTCAATTGCTTCCTGTAGGAAGACGGGCAGTATGGGGGTCCAGGCTGAAGCAGCTAGTGCCCTTTCCTCTGGCTCCATAATGGACAGTGCTGTTCATGCCATGGTAGATAAACTCTCTGGTGTTGCAGCTCCTTTTATCCCTTCAAAACCACATGAAACCTCAGCCAAGGTTGACAGCAGAATCATCAGTAGCAACTCATCCGACCTCCTGAGACAACAGCAAAAGTGGCTGGTGGATCAGACTAGCAGAACATCCTGTGAGCCTAAGGCTGGGAATAATATTGAGATCGTGAGCACTTCACAGACAGCCAAAGTGATAGTCTCTGTCAAAGATGCTGTGCCCACTATTTTCTGTGGCAAGATAAAAGGCCTCTCGGGAGTATCCACCAAAAACTTTTCCTTTAAAAGGGACATGCCACAGGACTCTGTGCTGCAGTGTTATGATGTGAAGAATCAGCCAGAGTCCAGGGATAATGCAGAAGCTCTTAGAAAACCTGTCAAAAACAGGAGTGTAAAGTTAAAGAAAATGAACTCACCGGAAATACATATTCTTCCAATCAAGAAGCAACGGCTCGCTGCCTTTTTTCCAAGAAAGTAAATTATGAGTTTTTAGAATTTTAAGATATAATAATAATTATTATTATGATGAAATAAAATAAAATAACATGCACTTGGGTTTAAAATGCATTTAAAACTTTTAAACTATCTTTGTAAGTTATTTTTTGGGGGAATGGAAGAAGTTCATATGTAGATTCCCTATAAGCTGGGGCTGTCTTCTTTTTTTGTTTTGGTTGGGGTTTTTTTTGGTTTGGTCTTTCTGGTTATTGATTTTTAAATTTTTTTTTTTTTTACTTTTCATGAAAAAGTAAATAAAAAGCAACTTATTTTTCAAGCGGATTGCACATTTTGCAGCTTTAATGGAAAAATGGATGAGTCAGAGGGGTGAGAGCTGTTTTCACTGCCATAAAGTGCTTTGATGATGTAATTCTTAATAATGGGTAGAATGGACATTTCAAAATAAATGTTTGTATGTGCTAATTGGTTGCGGTATTTTGTCATTTATAAATTGCTTTCATTCTATGGAAAGGTTTGGCAAAAGTCTGTAAACTGTAAAGCACTACAAGTTTATCTGTGTTATAGCCCTATAATGTTAACATCACCAGGCTCAGAAAAATTATATTGCTCAACAGCACCATCAGAGAGAACCTCTGAACAGCCAGTAATGATACGTTTTGATTTGTCTTCAATAAAAGTGAAAGAAAAAGATTCATGTTATACATAACAAATGCACAGGAAATGCTAGCTTGATTAGTAGAAACAAATATAGATCAGTTTGTAATTGCTAAACATAAATGCTGATTTAAAAGGGAAAAACAGAACAAAACTTAAAGGCGGGGGAATTTGACAGCGGGTGAGGAAAAAACTCATAATTTTTCCCAGCCTGAATATAGATATATGGAACAGTTGTTCATTGTTAGTTTTACCATTTCTTGATGGCTGAAACCAATGCACATGAAAGAGTAGAACAATGTAACTTTATTACGTAACAGTGTAAAAGCCACCCACATGAATGGCGAAATGTGAATGTAAAATTCAAATAAAAATTCTGCTAGGT